ATTTAATAAAATTTAATAAAATTTAATAAAATTTAATAAAATTTAATAAAATTTAATAAAATTTAATAAAATTTAATGTAAGCTTGACAACATTAATATGATTTATCACGCAATGATTAATATAACTTTAACCTTGTACGTTCAACGAGTTCGTATTGTAATTGAGCCAGTAATAATTGATGATTACATTGTTTAGAATCATCATCTTCAGACAGAACGGTGAGGTATTGTTCTGGTGCAGTTTTAATGAATTCATCAACAGGCATTAATGAAATATCTTCAAATTTGAATCTAATATTAAATAATACATAGGATAATCAAAATAATGAATTATAGAGTAACATAAGAACAAAAAACAAAACGACATACCTACGTGGAACTTTACTAAGCATGTTTTTTAATAAACATTTCTGAAACATAACTTCTTGTAATTTCATATGTGCATGATCCATTTGTACTTTTGCAGATTGAGTTTTATTTTTAATATATTGTTTATCCAAATAAAATTTTCGATTTAGTTGTCTAAGTTTAATGAATTTTAAATCCAACTGACGTTTTATTGCCGGATCAAACGTCCCCTATTTAATAAGCAAAAATGAATAATTCAAAATGACTCAAAAGTATAATAATAAAAAAAAGGTTGATAAGAAATTAAATGAAACGAACATGCTCATCACCAGCTTCACTGCTTTCACATAATTTAGTACTGATCTGCTTAATTTCCGAGCATAATCGCAGAGCTTCAACAATCGTTGGCAAGGTAGGCACAATAAAATTATCAATGGGAGAAGCAATAGGAGAAGCTTGATCGATTCCGTCCAATAGATCGGGAACGCGAAAAGTTGATTGTTGGGATTCAGTTTCTAATTGAGAGTCAAGATTTATAGATGAAAGATCATCGCAAGCTGTCTTTACAAAGGAAGTTTGTCGCATCAATTGTTCGTCCATGCTTTGAAGAGCCCAAAGGTAAATTTGCTTATTTTTTTAATAAATTTATGTAAAATCTTTACATCGTCGCTTATGTAAAATTACAAGATCACATGACTATAATGACATAATTAATAAATGTAATAATGATTAAATATAACGATATAACCAGAGTGACGTGTGTATAAGAAAAATGTAATGATTAAATGTAATTACGTATTTTTAATCTGAAAAAAATCAAAAGTGAATTCACTTTATAATTGCGTATTAAAATGATATAATAGATTTGCGTTTGGGGGGAAGAGGAAAAATTACGATTCATCATTATAAAATGAATGTTACAAAAAAAAAACAAAAACATAAACGAATACGTACTAATGTGTACTGTACATCCGAGAATCTGTTGAATCTGTTTGTATCCAGAAAAGCAGTTCATTTAAATGTTGGGGTACCTAAAATTTCCAAAAGTCGCATGAATAATGTACTACGTAATAAGGATAAAATAGTTGTAAATATATCATAAATGTATCCAGAATACTTTAACGCGTGACTTTAAGATTAGATAAACCCAAATACCAAGTTTGATTCACCATTTGTTAATGATTTTTTTTTTTTTGACATGATTTACAAGGAAATCTTTCAGCCAACGCGGATATTTCTAAAAGAAAAAAAAAGAGTATGTATGTATAATAAATATAGATTACGATTACAATTACAAATATTAAAGTATCTTTAATAGAGTGTCCAGGGGACTGCGATGCATAAATCTGCTCACTCTAAAAATATTTTTGCTTATTGTCTTCGTAAGACAAA